TCTGATGAATGCAACTTTGGAACATTTTATCTACAATCCGCGGTTGATCTGCATATCCGCAGATTTCTAACCACCAGATACGGATTTTATTTCAAACCTCTAAAAATCCGCGGATTCTGATCCCGATCTGATCTGATCCGATCCGCTAGGAGCCATACTGCTCAGTATGTGCTTGGTATGTGATTCTTCTCCAGCACTACTACTTGTTGACCTGTGGATTTAGGCTACTATGCAATTGGTGCTGATATCGCTCAAGATTGTTAACTTTGGGAGAACCACTGGTTGATTAGAAGGATTTGGACTGATCAGCAAGTATGCTGTTGTAAATCCGGAGTTCCACATATGGCAACCCGCTTCAGCGGTTCACTCACAACCCAGATGTAATATAGAAATGAGAAGAGAAACTGTAACTAACTAAAGAACATATGGTGCTAAAGCACCCATATTGATACTATGCATTGGCAATCTGGAGCTTCCTATGTATGGCATTTACACAGGTGCTTAGTCACATCCTCCACATTATCCTCCACATATGTCCCAGATATCTCCGGTGACTCGCCATTTCCAATATATGCCCATTCCCACTTCTGACCTCTTGTTTCAATGGCTCACTTGCTTACTTGCTTGGATTGTCACACTCAGTTGACTCTGCTCGGAATTTTGGTCCTGCACACAAAAGTCAAAGCAGGAAATGCATCATTGTCAGGGCATGCCACATGCCATGCTGTGCCGCTCCCCTCCTCTTCCTTTTCTTTTCTCCTTTCTCCTTTCTTACCTTCTTACCTTCTTTCTCCTCCTCTTCTCTATCCTGGTAAGGATGACCTTCCCTTCTCTCCTACACCTGTAGCATGGATGCATCCGATGCTGAGCACCCTGCATGGTGTCAGGGGACAACTCCTGGGTCCCCATGACCCTCCCCTATGGTCCACAGCCCTGTGGTGTAACCAGCCCTATCCAGGGCACAACCTACTGTGGGTAAGGAGATGAATAGATAAAGAGGCAAGTAGATACACTTGCCTACTGTGGGTAAGAAGATGAGAAGGAAGCTAACTTCTCATCTTCCCACAGTGGCCACAATATCAGGCAAACTTCTGGGGATACCTGGAAGTCACATGAGGGGGTGGGAACCGGGCCCAGAACATGTGGTGGGTGGATCCGGGTCCGGATGTGGGTCCGGGTCCGGGCTAGTCAGGGTGTGTGCCCTGACACATGGGCACCTATCAGGGATGGCTTGAGGAAGGCAGAGGTAGCAGCGTAGTGCTCAGCGCTAGCGGCCTGGATGGCGGCAGGGTGGTGAGACTGTATAGTGGGCAGCCCTCACTCAGGCTTACGTCCCTGTGTGGCTTCTTAGGCTGAAGTGGGAAATGAGAAGAAGGTTACTTCTTCGGTCCCGCTTTGGCTTAGTTTTCTTTGAGGATTATCGTATTGGACCTCCATGAAGGTGGGCCTGGCATCATCTTCACCCGATCGTACATTGAAGCTGTATCCTTCCAGCTTGGTGGATGCGGATGGTCTGCCACCTAATCCCACAGCTGGTAGCAATCATTTATCTGGAATGTTAGGCTCACGCACCCATTTAAGCTTTTGGAAGTGATTAATCCCTCCTTGTGAAACACCCTCCGTGCTCAACCAATAACAAAGTTCCCAATCCTCCTTGCTTTCATAGGGCCGACCACTCTCCTCCTGCTTAGATAGTCGGTCCCAAAGAGTCTCTATGGCACCTCCAGGAGGTTTTTTTGGTTGTTATTTAATGGAGGTACGAGATAGACTTGTGTGTGGTCAGTCTGAATTCACTTGGCACATTCCCCGGTGATGCTACATCTTATGCACCGTACCCGCTGTTGGCCTTACACATACTGTGCCTTCCAAGGTTGCAGTCATGCCAATTCAGGTTTATTGCCACTGCATTCCTGGATCGATTTCTCTGGACGAATTCTGTGCATGTTCTTTGTCCACCTATACTACAGGGCTCTGGCCCACTTTCACCTCGTCCTCTGCTTTTCCCTTTTTTCTTCCTTAGTCTCATTCCTTTGGCCTGCAAGCTGTGTTTTTGTCCAAGTTTTATTACTCTTCCTTGCTTCCGGTAAGCTTTTTCGGTCTTGCTGAGGGGGAGGTGTTGTTGTTAGAACTGGGCAGATTTGGACGACTCCGGAATGGAATCGGAGACTTAGCGTGGAAGGACCTCAGCCTCAGCGACTCATGCGGAGCACTGTGCCATTGCTGGTTGTCCTGGGGGTCCCTAATTTCGGATCTAGCAGAGGGAAAGTCTCTTGGGGGGAATTCAGGTCGATTTCGGACTGAGGTTACAAGTTACTAGGTACATTGTATATAAGGAGGGGTCTGGAATCAAAAGGAACAAGGGTAGGACAAAAGGAGACAAAGGGAGGTGGAAAGAGGAACAACACCGAGGGTCAAGGGTTTGACTCAATGGTGTTTCCCAAAGGAGGAATGAAGGGCCAAGGCCCAAGGAGGAAGGAAGGAGGTTGGGAGTGGGGAATGGCTAGCTGACTGAATAGAAAGGAAGCAGCAGCCCAAATAGGAATGAGGGAGAATAGCGGAATTGAATAGGACAATGCAATAGTTGCAAGGTCCGAGGTAAGTCCGGAAAGTCCGAACTCGGAAGTTAAACTCCGGAATATTGGCAAACGTAATTAAATGGAATGAGCTAACCAATACAATGGGTATAAGCGGAGGTGGGGTCAAAGTCCAAGGTCGGAGCTAAGACCGGAGGTTCCGGAGATGGAGACGCAAATGGGATTCCGGAGTGGAGGTCCGGAGTCGGGAGCATAGGTTTTGCGTACTTGTCTGGAAGGTGTCGAGGTTGGGGTCGGACCCGGAATGTTCCGGAGTCGGACCGAAGGTGGTGTCAGAGCCGGAGGTGGGATAGCCTCTTGGGAGTCGGCAAGAGGAGGTGACGGAAGGGAAGTAGAACTCCGGAAGTCAGGTTCGGAGTTCCGGGAGCCCGGAGCGGAGGTCGGGATTGTATGGATATGACAGTTGTGACCTTCGGTTACTCTCAGCAGGTGGGATCCCGATTGCTTATTCAGGTTTTTTCTAGGTTTGGTTATCTTCGGTTGTTTCCTTGTTCTTTGTAACCTCTGCTCTTGTTCCTCCAATTCCTTGTTGTCCTTTTACTGGCTTCCCCTCTTCAATTTCAAGAGGTTCTGGCATTGGCCAGGACTGTTGCCACGCTATTCTGTTGCATCTCATCCAGCATGCACACAAGCCGTTCATTAGGCAGTTTCACAGTTGGCTAGATTGCTAAACTCAGGAACTAAACTGGGCTTAATCCAGAGGATGTCGGGAGTGAGTTTGGGGTGGGTTTAAGCGGCTGTTAAGACAAGATCAAAAGCATTGATCCTGATTGCCAATATTAACCATTTGTTTATTCTTCATATTGTCTCTTGATCCGCCCACTCCGGTCCTATTTAGTTAGTTGTACTTATAACTTGTGTAGGTTACACTGGATGCCCTCATCTCTACCTCTTGTCGTAAGGCTCCCATCCAAAATTGGGGCACCAGTGTAAGAACGAGCACAGCACTCCACCCAAGTTGCTGAAGCTAACTTCCCACCCCTCCGACCTTATGAGCCCAGGTGATTTCATGCAACCCTTATGGACACTCTGGATACACATTCCTGACAGATACCCAACCAGCACTTGGGAAGGTGTGTCTTCCTTGGTGGGACGCTGTCACACACCATTGTGTTAGACAGCAACGCGGTTTTTTTTTTCAATAGCATTCCACGCTCAGGCCCTGACAACAAAGGAATAAATACACAACTATTCATTCTGCCATTCCTGGCTCCAATATTGATATCCTATGTAACGATTCAGCATCGTGTGATCAGGGGTCCCCAGCAGATGGTCCAACTGGGAAGTGTGGTTGCTGCTAGTACCAGGCACTTGAGAGCATTGTGACATTTGCTGTTCATATCCAACACCCCGTGATTCTACTACCGTCATACCCCCACTCGGTCCATCTGTCATGACTGACAAATCCCAGGGCTCTGTCAGCAGCGAATCAATGCCAACAGGTGATTCCACCGACCCGAACCCATCCTTACCAGCCCCAACCCAATGTCTGTTCTATCGACCATGCACCGCTTCCGCACCTTCCGCAACCTCTGTCCATTTCTGGTTGTCCTTGACACCTCTGGTCAGGTCAACACTCCCCTCCGTATCTTGCTGGCCATCATGCTGTCCTTTTGTGACAGCACTGACAGACCACCCTCTGTTGCAGACTCATCAGCACCATGCTGATTCCCACATCCCTTTGCGGACTTGTGTCGGCATCGCACCGACCCCGCATCCTGATTTGCGGACTTGTATCGGTGCCGTGCGCTGACCTCCGCTTTTCCTCTGGCCATTTGTCACTTGGCAGCTTATCATTCATTCCTTGCTGAGTGCCATTTATTGTTTGCTTCCCTGCCAATATCGGCATTTGATCCCCTCTTTATTGGCACTAGGTTATTGATCTCATTCAGTTATTCATCAATAACCCTTGCCACTTATTGTTTATTGATCTGTTCCTCGTTTCCAGTTCCCGGGCTCTTGTCCTTATTTAGTTTGACAATCCCTGCTTATCTCTGTGCCAGACCGTGCCGGACTGACTGGCCTTTCTATATTCCCTCTTGCCTATTTATATACCTTGTAAATACTTTTGGGGACCTCAGTCTGAAATCAACTAGAGTACCCCCCCTGTCTGGTCTGAGTCCCTCCTTCTGCAAAGGGGGCTTCCCCCCTCTGAGTCCGTGCTCGCGGAGTCTGCACTCCTACAGGTCCACTCCGCCTGCAAGTCTTGTAAGTCCGCTGTGAGTGTCAATCCGTAAATACGGGATCTCCCCCAAATGTCAAGCTCAGGGCACAGCGCTCCACCTGAGTCGCTGAGGCTGTGATCCCACTCTGCTAACCTTGAACAGCGCTTCCGGATGCGCCGCATATTTCCGCCCGCATATCCGCGCGCGCGCGCTCCAACAGACCTCTGCGTCACCTCTGACCTCAACTCAGACAGAACCCAATCCGTCTTCTATCCGCCTCCTGACAGTGTTCCGACTCTGACAGTATTCTGACTCCGACAATATCCCAGTCTTCTGACAAGCATTCCAGCTCTCTGACACCATCCTGTCCCATCCACAGGTCTTCTGGCATCGAATCAGCATCCCACTCCCACCCATCAGAGAGCAGCTCTTTCAGCGGGCATTGAGAGTACAGATCGTCTAACATACGTGTATCCTCCTGGCATGCATCCAAGGGAGGAAGAGCAGCATCAGGTAACTCCTCCAGCATGGATCCAGCAGCATCTGGCTCATCCAAGGATGGATCCTCTGTCGCATCCTCATCGCAGTCATCCTGCTGTGTTCCCACTGGAGCAGTACCTTGAGTCTGGTGATCACGGTGCAGTGCGCCTATGGTCAAAGGAGGGGTTCCCACCCACGCTCGACCTGCCACTTGACGCCAGCGATTGGGTCTCAGCATGACTGCCCTGTCATCGATTTGGTCAGAGGCCCTTCTGAGTTTCTTCGAGGTTGGACAAGCGGACAATGACCGTCTTCTCTTCCTTGAGGATTCTTCAGGGGTTGTTTGTGGTGATGATGATGACGATGTGGGTTGTGCTGGTGGGGGGATGCTGGCTAAGCTCGTCATGTCCTCGGCAGTGACTTTGCCATCCATGATGGCACTAGATATCAAGGGATCCTGCACCATCTGGAAGAGGAAATCCTTCATTTGGTGGGCCTTGTTCCAGCAATCATAGTCGGGCAAATCCTTTTCAAACATTATTCACATTTGGAACTGAAGGTCATCCAGGAATAGGTTGACGTCACTGTGGGGCACCAAGGAAGGGAGAGAATCATCATGGCCAGAATTATGGGAAGGGGGGGAAGATGTAGTATCCAACGACGATGCCATAACAGGCGGCAAAGGAGACGCCATCATCCGCTCCAATGCATAACCCTGTGTGTCCCCGATGTTGTTGGGGGGTGGGATTGGGGGAGGTACTCTCCAAAAGTGTAATCCTGCATCATGAAATCATGAGGAGTCATGACATGTCATGACAATTGAATTGAATCAGACATTTTTTACATTGAAAATTTTGGATTTCATGAACTGTCATGAACCATCATGTGCTGACAAGGTCCATGACTGCTGGTGACACAATATGACATGATGCCTCATGGAGGTTTATGAGTGGTCATGATATTCATGAACCTTCATGACCTTTCATGACAGGTCATGAAGGTTCATGGAGTGTCATGGAGTGTCATATGTTTATTTTGACCTTTCCCCATCATGTAAAATGCTCTAATGTCCCATGATGCATCATGGAAATTCATAATGCTCCATGAACATGTATGATGAGTCATCAGCATGCATGAATATGCATGAGATGTCACAAGCACTTATGAACTGTCATGTGACAGACCTTATTTGTGACAGCACTGACTGATTAACCTCCAACTCATGCCCTTGTGTTGGCACTGCACTGAACTCCACTTTTCCTCCAGCCACCTTTGCTGCTTGGTGTCAGGAACGGTGTTCAAGGATATTTGTGGGAAGTGGAGTGGAGACAGTGTGAGTGATCACTTAGCTGATAGGTTACTCCATTGCAAGGTGTCAGGGGGTTGGGATGTTGGTTTCAATGACTCAGTGGGAGTGTTGTGCCACATGCTTTAGCCTATCCTGTATTTCAGGTGTAGTGGAGGGAACCTTGCAGCGATGTAGGCTCAAGTGAAAATGAAGTCAGAGGTGAACTATGGACAAGAGGACTTGGGGGGGGGGATTCTAGTTGACATTAAAACTGGGGTACATAGGTAGTAATTTACAATGCATAAACACGAAAGGGGAAACAGAAGAGGGGCCAGTCACTCTGGCACCCAAATGGGAGGCAGAGTGGTGAACGTGACAAACTAAATGAGGGATGAGAACCAGGGAGACAGAGAGTGAGAGATGAATGAGAGTGGAATGAACAATTAAACAAAGAGGCAAAGTAGGGAGGCAACCTGAGAGAACTGACAACCTGGGTGCAAATATAGTAGCAGATCAAGAAGGTGCCAATATTGGCCACTAAAGTAAGTTAAGTAAATGGGCAGGAACAGGACATGTGGGTGCTTGGCAATAAATGAATATCATGTAGCTGAGTGATCAGGAAAGTTAGAGTGGTGATGGGAAGGGAGAAGGTGCTGATGTGGAACTGTGGACAGGGTCAACTATTGGCACCACTGAGGAATGAATTATGGAGAGGACTGACAGGGCAAGATAGGTGGTGGGGAAGTGGGAGAGTGGTAACAGATGGGCACCTTTGGCAGGGCCATGACACTTTGCAGCACACTATTCATTTCTTGCTAATTACCTAATACATTTATCTATTCATTCACTTAACTCACCAATATTGGCACTTGATCCACTTTATATTGGCACCTAGGTTGTCAGTCCCATTCCATTGTTTTCTTGTATGATGCTTTCATATCACTTTCAACTTAAGGCTAACACATGTAATTAACCATTATGCCCCTAATTGTCATCGTTGTATCAAGAATCCTAATTTATGATCAATCACAATGATTCTTGGGAAGACTCCTAATGATTCATGAGGGTCCATGATCCTTTATGAAGCCCCATGAAGGCTCATGACACTTCATGACACTTCATAGACAGGCATGTAACCACTCAAAACTTGCCTGGAAGAACCACTTAAGTCATGAGCAATCATGACCCCCCATGCAGGTTCATGACATCTCATGAAATTCCATGATGGTTTGTCATGAACTGGCATGACTTCCATGACGGTTCATGAACCGCCATTACACTTTTTGCAAGTTACTGGATTGGGGGAAGCTCGTCATACCTGGCTTTTGCCCAATTCATAGCTGTAGAGTCCTCTTGAAGCATGTCCTCCACTATACTGTGAAGCTGGTGGTTGAACTCCTCTGCCTCATCCAGCTCCCTCTCCTCCTGATCCAGCTCGACCCGCTTGCGTTGCACCATCTCCCTAGACTTTTCCACCTCATCATGGTGCGAACTCAGCTGTCCAAGGTGGTAGATACTGTCGTAGTACTTGTCCACCGCACCATCCAGCTGCTCCACGACTGCCTCTGACACCTGTCGAAGTTCCTGGAAGCGGTCTGGGGAAGCCGCTTCGATGACTACCCCAGAGATGAAACGATAGGCCTTATCTTTCCATCCAGCAAACCGTCTCAGCAAGGCCCACCACCCTTTGTTTCTCCTGACCATGTCCGTGATCCGAGTGACATCGAACCTGTCCAAGTTGTCACTCATCTCGTCCACATCCTGTTTCTTGAATGTGGTGTCCACTGTGCCTTGATGGATCAGGCAAGATAGGAGGATCTCTTCCAGTAACTGAACGGCATCATGAGAAAAAAGGACAAGAAGACAGCGAGAGTACTCTTACACCAATGGTGTTATGACCCTTAGCCACACATAGTTTTGGGAGCGCAGTGTCCCAAAAGAGCTCCTCGTTATCTTGAGTGAAATGGAATGCATCCACATCCTCTTGCTTCCTTCTTCCACCATGCCCTTTCGTCCGACTCATCATCTTCTTGGCCTGCTTCTCCCCAAAGATGATGTAGACCAACTGATATGTAGGGCTTCAATGAACAACACCAAAATCCAAGTTAACTCGCGAGTTGTTCGCCTGGAGATAGGCTGGATGTAGGAACTTGGAGAGACGTCAAGAAAAGAAAGGAAGGGAAAAAAAAAAAAGCTCACGTCATCAGGGAGGAATCCCCAAGTGTTCGACTTGCGGTCCTGAAGGGCATTCCTGAATCCATCTGGAACCCTCTTCGCCTCCGAGATCACCCCTTGGCTGTATATCGCATTTGGTTTGTCGTCCAACACAGCGGTCCACCTAGGAGGGTGCTGGAAGTTGATGGACCACGAAAGGGCAAGGTCCAACGCAGTCACTGACGTTACCCCCCATGGTTGCACCAGGGCACTCAGCTGTGCGATGTGAGTTCTTATCAGCTGTGCATAGAGCTTTCCGAGGTGTCAGACAAAAAGATGACGAAACTGCATGTCACTCACCTGATGCATCCCACAATGAGTCCACCTTTCCATGCTAGATGGCACTTTTTCGCATTCCCTCCAGCATGGGATTGTGAGGAGGTCCCCGATGGCCTCTGCCAGCTCACTCGATCTCCATACATCCCGCAACGGCAACATCTCCTTCTCCTCCACCACCCTCCAGGCTGAACCCAGTTCCATTGTAGCCGGTGCCGGATTCTTTGACTTGATCACCCCATGCATGACCAAAAACATGTACTGCCACTTGTTCGGCACCTTGTCCTCCATCTTGTTATCTTTGGCCAGCCAAACATGGAACATGACTTCATGGTTCTTTTGAAGAGCTGATGATGAAATCAACGACATGATGAGATGGAAAGGAGGATCTTCTCACATTGCCCATAGAGCTTCACCTTCCAAAATGCGCGGGGATGCGCATACACTGCCTCTATCAGGAATTCCTGTGAGGACACTTCCTCGGCAGGATGTGCAAGTTCATGCTCTTGCTGCAGCAGAGTCCTTATATGCGTTTCCAGCACCCTCTTTCGGTGCTGGCCATGGACGACCTGTACCTGGATGTCTGCAGGAAAACTTTGGAGGTCCAACCCATCGTCGTCAGGAAGCAACCCTGTCATCTCGTGCATCAAGGGGTCGATGCTGCCCCCCCAAGTCTCATGGTACCTGGCGACAAACTGTTCATCTACTTGGCGGTTGCCTTCCAGATTGACCAGTTGACGAAGAGGAACCTAGGTGTGTATGAGTGCATGTGCGTGGGAAGCATAACTACTTCACTTATGATGGCAGAGCCCTTGTACATCTGATCTCAGTAGTTGCTGAACTCGGTCCACATATTTCTTGCCATTATTGGACGATCCTCATGGATCGATGGCAGTATTTAAGCATTTCCAGAGGCACCGACAGCTTGGTTACACTGGACGTGCATCTGAGTGAAGATGGCAGCCAAAATCAACTGTTCCTGAGAATGGAAGTTTGGGTTCATATTGAGCAGCTCTGGCTTATTCTATGGAAGCGAGATCTACATGGCAACACCGACCCATACCATAAGCCAAGCATGAGAGAATGATGATGGGAGGGTAGCAACGCAACAAGGAAGCAAAAACAATTGAACAACCAAACACAAACAAACAAACAAACGATCCCCTATATCTGGCTGGTTTGGGCTTACAAGCATGAAATCGGTGTTTGGGTTCACCTAGAAAAGTCAGCCAACAGCCATGTACCTTGTACTTTGCCTACCTTTGCGACCAAAACCACAGACGATTTGAAATTCCTACCATATCAGGGATCCAGGTGGTGATAGGCGCAGGAGAAAGTTCGAAATAGCAACAGGCCCTGTGATGGCCAAGACCAGTTTGTGCACAACAGGCAGGCAAGCAGCAGCAAAGTTAGTGTGTGTTAGAACCAGGCGGATACAGACGACTCTGGAGTGGAATCGGAGACTTAGCGTGGAGGGACCTTGGCCTCAGCGACTCAAGCGGAGCGCTGTGCCATTGCTGTTTGTCCATTTGGTCCTTAATTTCACAGTAGGTGAGCAGGAAGTCTCTAGGGGGCATTTCAGGTCAATTTCGGACTGAACCAAAACGAGTATGTACAAGCGCCGATATATATAATGGAGGGGGCAAAAGCACAAGGAAACAAAGGGAAACCGAATCGGAATGAAGATGTCCAAACGGGAACAAAGGGTAGAAGAAGCGGATCGGTACCGAAGGTCATAAGGCAGGACCTGTGATACGTCTGAAAGGAGGTAGGGAGGGCGAGGCCCAGAGGGGCAGGAGGATGAGGAGAAGTGGGGATGATGACTAACTGGCTAGAATGGGAAGAAGCAGTAGTCCAAATAGGGATGAAGGGAAAATGCGAGAGATACATTACAAGCAGCGAAAGTGCCGAAGGCGATCCGCGAAGCTCGGGGGTTGCAGAGCTTATGGAGGTTACAGAGGCGGGGTTGAAAGTCCAAGGGATATTGGCAATGGTGTTTATGTAGTATGAGGTCACCAATGCAATGGACTAAGACTGAGGTGGAGTCAAAGTCCGAGGTAGGGACTATGACGGAGGCTCGGAGCAAAGGTACAAGCGGTGTCCGAGTACGAAGTACAGGACAGCAGTGGAAGGTCGTAACTTGGCAGGAGGGTGGCGGAGGAGTACCAGAGGGAGGAGAGAGGGGAAAGGTAAGGGAGAAGGAGTGGCGGAAAGGAGAGTTGTCAGGTCCAAAGGTGAGTATCGGAGTGGACGGGGGAAGCGTAGGAGGGTGATGGGAGGGTGGAGGTGTTGTGAAGGAGGAGCGGAGTAGGAGGAGGAGGAGTAGTAGGAGGGTGGCGAGAGGGGTGGTGTTCGGTCCGAGGTGAGTATCGGAGTGGACGGAGATAGGGGAGGAGAGGGAAGGAGGAGCAGAGGTGGCGTGGGGGGTAGAAGGAGGTGTGTTGCCAGGACCGGAGGTGAGTATCGGAACAGCAGCGGTAGGGTATGACTCCGGAGGTGAAGAGGGTGGAGGTCCGGAAGTCGGGTCGGGGTCGGGTATGCATGGATATGACAGTGTGGCACAAACATCAGAGGCCTTGTTGAGCAATGTCAAGTGACCAAGGAAAGTACAGAAAACGGCAAGATTACCGGAAGAATAAACAGATGCCAAGGACCAGTTATGGATGTAAATTGAACTGGGAACAAAAACGATACAAGTGGAAGGCAGATTGATGTGCAGTGAAGAACGTCGAAGTGTCCAACAGAATACAAGCAAGACAGAGAGTATGTACCAAAAGATGATAAAAACTTATAAACAACTCAAGAGAATACCACGTTAGGTTACGTGAGTCCTCCTTTTCCCTACATGTACATGTCAGGTTCAGTCTCAGTGACAACCCTGGGGGAGGGTGTCCGGAAGTTGTTGGAGCTCCGGCTGACTCCCCATAATAGGTACTCCCCCGTGGGAAGGTTCTGGGCGAGCAGCTCGCCCAGAAGGTTCCCACAGCTGTGGCTGTGATAGTTTCTGGGCAAGCTGCTCACCCAGAAAGTTCCCACAGTTGTGGCTATGATGAATTCTGGGTGAGCTGCTCGCTCGGAAACTTCCCACCAGTATGTGAGGAGGAAGTTAGGTATCACAATACACCCGAGAGCACACACATGGACCCATGTGACATCTTTAATGATATGTTGTCTAAGCTATTATTGTCAGACGCTTATAATACCCAGCATCGTTGAGTGGCAATGTCCTTGCATGAAAGAAAAGCACCAAAGCGCATACATGCAGGAGAGCTAGGTATCTCACCGCCTGACACCAGGGTACATTACTATTTTGATGAGCAACATCAGTAAAAGAAGAGTACAAGCAGAGTGGAACTGTTACACCATTTCTTATTGCCCTCCCATCTCCCCAACAGCCACAATTTGTACCCACATATGGTTTCTACCTTGGGATCACCAATGTAGTTGGCCAGACCCTTACGGAGCGCCTCCGAGCCTAGGACCATCCAGGCCATTTCAGGAATCATATCAGGAAATTTGCACCCATCCTTCGTTGGACAAGTGTGCACCAAACTAGAGTCCATGTTGAGGAGGCATTTCCAACAATACCCCTCAATGTCCTTACCATCCCCCTTGGTGCAAAACAGGCCACGCTTCCACTTCCACTGGTGATATCCCTCCTGATATTGTTGCCATCCCTGTCGTGTGGTGGTGCCAAGACAGCATGATGTGAGGTGTGAGCAGTGCGTACCGTGCAACCAACACAGTAAGCACCTGCCCTTGAGTTCCTGGAGACATTTTTCCACTTGAATGGGGATGGCAGAGGAAGCGTTGGATTTGGACAGCTGGAGCGAAGCGTTGATCTCCAAGGCCAAAGGCCCACTCTTTGAAGTGCCAGCCGATCGATCAGTGGAAGAAGGTGTCCAAGATCCATGTGGTTGCATCGATGTCTGCGAACCTCCATCTATCACCATGGGCTCATCGCCATCATCTGCTGCTGCCCTCAATTCTAGATGGGCCACATCAGAGGGAACGCAGAGGGAGAGAGGAAGGGAGAGACTCACCGAAAGGTTTACCCCAGCGGAGATCGAAATCATAGTCATCCAGCTTGCCTTTCTTGTCCTTGTAACATGCCACACACAGCACCGTCCCTGGCTCTGACTCCCGAAGGCCCATACAGTTTTCGCCCTTGCTATCCAGATGCAGCGAAGGCATGACCTGATGGCACATCGTGTACTGTTGAACGGCCTTCGTCATGGCCACACGACCCTCGAAACACTCCTGTGTGGCGGAAAAGCACTTCGGAGGAGCTGGAAGCAACACAAGGCTCGTTCCAACTTGCAGACCTCGAGTCACCCTCCCTGAACTCTGGTAGAAGTCATTCACAGAGAAAGGTTGCCCAACGAAGATCAAAAAGGCTACAGCATGGTAATCGAAGCCATAGTAGCCTGCCTTGTTGAGGCACAGGATTCGTCACTTCCCTTGACACCAATCATCGAAACGGCAACGATGGTCATCGGATGGGACGTCAGCAGTGATGTACGAGCAGTGCAAGTGCATGGCCCATTCCATGCATTCCTCTTTGCTCACGAAGAACACCAACCCCCATTCATCGCCCTTCAGACCCTCCTCCACCTGGCGGATGACCTCGACCATCTGTGCACGCCATTCCATGTTCCAGGCCGTCTTGATGTCTGGAAGATCCGTCTTGCAAGGCTCTTGACCCATCCCCAGTACCACGAACTGGTAGAAGATCTGTGGCCGTTGGGTCCTCATGTGGATCACCACCACAGACTGGTCTGGACGATACAGGAGGTCAGCAGCCTTCCAAAACTTCCAGGTGAAACCCCACGACATCGTGCCCGATGCAAAAAGGATGGGGGCATTCTGCAGCTGCATGAGCTTCCGGATGGCATCAAGGTAGGCTGGATGGAACAGTTGATCTTCTATGATCCCATGTGCCTCATTGAACATGATGCATCCCAGCCTTCCATTGTTCGCCACTCCTGCAAGCCAATTGATGAATACGTTGTTGCTGAAGGACTCAATGGCCACAGTGACCACTTGCTCCCCAGGAGATGGAGTTTCCATCGTCCATTTTCAATTGGATATGTTGGATTTGCTCAAGCACCTGTGCATTTCTGGGTGGAGGATCTGGTAGGGCAACACCAAGATCGATTGCTTGGTGATCCCCCAAGACATGGCAGCAAGCATGAATGGTAACATCTTACCAGCGCCACAGCCAGCAACATATAGGCAATGACGCTGCCTCTTCATGATCTCACAGTAGACCCGGTACTGTGCAGGGGACCGAAAGGTTGCTTTTTGATCCCTGAGTAGGGTTCGAAGCTTGTCGGTGGCCTTTGGATTGTATAGCCTTGATAACTTATTGCCATCTACCTCTTGGGGGACAACAATGGGGAGTAGGGGGGTCGAGGACTCTGAGGGAACTTCTTGGCTTAGGTCTCCATAGAAAGAGAGGATGCTTACCTATCTAATCACAGTGGGTATTATGAATCATAATACTTGTGCCATGGCGTTTTTTTGGTATCATAAGAAAGAAAAAAATCACACCTTTCCAACGGTGTAACGGGAATGGAAGTCCGGTAAACGGTTCAGGAGTTATGGCCAATTCATTGTTGTGCCCAATTGTGCCCTAGTCGTGCCCTATCATGCCATTGGCCAGTACTCGGCCAGTTCTCAATATTATGAAATATAAACGGGTGTCCAAAGGCCGTATGGACCTCCTCTACAAGATGCAAAAAACCCTGAGTGAATAGCTGCCACGGTTACTGAGTTATTGAGGAAACAAAGTTGTGCCCTGAGTTTCAGTGTTTGAGCTCAAGTTGAGAATCGATTTGTTTGGGGTGTATAGCATATCACAAGATAGGTATTCAAAATATATACACGATGCAGAAAACCTTGAGTGAAATGGGTCACTCGTTGTCAAGATATAAAGTGTGAACATGGGACCAAGGGCACGAGTGGAGGGCACAAGTGTGTTTATTGAATAGCTCGAGAACGAGAGCAGCTATTGACTCAGGGTCTTTTGCATCCGGTGGAGATTATGAATACGGCCTTTGGAACATCAACGGTGCCCGATAATACTGAGAAATGGGGGAGAAAACAGCAATGGCACAAGTGGGCATGATTGACTTGTGCCCAATTGTGCCATGGACCATTACTCATCCATTTGTTGGTATTATCAGGCTTTAATAAATGTCCAAAGGCCGTATGGATGTCCTCTACAAGATGCAGCAAACCCGGAGTGATTAGCTGCCCTGGTTACCAAGTTATCAAGGAAAGAAAATAGTGTGCCAAGTCATGCCCTATTGTGCCATTGGCCAGTACTTGTTGAGTTCTTAATATTATGACATATAAATTGGTGTCCAAAGGCCGCATGGATTTTCTCTACACGATAAAAAAACTCTGAGTGAAACGGGTTACTTGTTGTGAAGTTATTCGAGAAACAAAGTTGGACAATGGGCAAATGGGGCACAAGGCACAAGTGTGTTTAGCGAATAACTCGGGAACGAGAGCAGCTATTGACTCAGGGTCTTTTGCATACGGTGGGGATTATCAACTCGGCCTTTGTAACGTTACCAAGGACTAATAATACTCAGAAATGGGAGAGAAAACAGCAATGGCACAAGTAGGGCACGATTGACTTGTGCCCAATCGTGCCATGGGCCATTACTCATTCATTTGTTGGTATTATCAGGTTGTGATGGATGTCCAAAGGCCGTATGGATGTCCCCTACATGATGGAAAAGACCATGAGTTCATAGCTGCTCTGGTGACTGAGTTATTGCAAATAGACCATTGTGCCAACATGGCACAAGTTGAGGGCACAAGTTTATTTGTTGAATATCTCAGGAACCAGAGTAGCTATGGACTTGGAATCTTTTGCATCTAATATAGGATATCCATATGGCCTTTGGACCATCAACAGTTAATACTCACAAATGGGAGAGAAACCAGTGATGGCACAAGTAGGGCACGATCGACTTGTACCCAATCGTGCCATGGGCCATCACTCATCCATTTGTTGGTATCATCAGGTTGTAATGAGTATCCAAAGGCCGTATAGATCCCCTCTACAAGATGCAACAAGCCCTGAGTGAATAGCTACCATGGTCACCCAGTTATTGAGGAAAGAAAATAGCATGCCAAGTCATGCCCTATCGTGCCATTGGCCAGTACTTGTCCAGTTCTTAATAAATCAATGTCCAAAGGCCATATGGATTTTCTCTACAAGATGAAAAAAACCCCGAGTGAGGTGGGTCGCTTGTTGTGACATTATTCAGGAAACAAAGTTGGACAATGGGCAAACATGGGAGAGGGGCACAAGGCACAAGTGTGTTTATCGAATAACTTGGGAACGAGAGCAGCTACTGACTCAGGTCCGGTGGAGATGATCAATACGGCTTTTGGAACATCAACAGCACGTGATAATACTGAAAAATGGAGGAGAAAACAGCAATGGCACGATCAACTTGTGCCCAATCGTGCCATGGACCATTATCAGGTTGTGATGAATGTCCTTCAACGAGCTGCCACTGGAGTCATGGCCGGAAGGGCTGGGGTCAGTCTCAATAGAAGACCCCAGAGGTGTGAGGTACCAACTCCAGTGGGACTGGGCAGTGAAGGGAGGTTCAATGTATATGTTCACATATGAAAGCTAATACACACAGGCTATGCATAACCACTTGACAAGAGGGGAAACACAGCAAGAGGGGGAGGCTGGGTGGTGATCTGGGTCTGGAGGTCAGATGTGAAATGGTCTGGGTGTCCATATGACATCATCAGGTGGAGGTAAGCAGGTCTGCCCTGACACATAGGACCCTCAAGTTGGGAACCAAAATGGAGCAGCAACGTAAAGTATGTGTGGCATGACCCAGAGATGGCATCTACACCCATCTCTTCTGCAGCTCATTGCTGATGAAGATTCCCTTCCATGATCAAAACGCATTTGTAGATGTGTGACTGAACGGTGGCATGAAGACATTGGGACACTAGGGCAAGTAGGGTCTGGGGCATGCAATGCTCTGCAATTTCACAAAGAGTTTTGTTTGGAGGTGCATTCATCCTATGGGCAGCCTGTGTCAGTGATGGATTCCCTCAAAGCTGTCCCAAACTCACGTCTGAAGGGGGGGGGGGGTCTGAAGGTGGTAAAGAGGAAACAGAGGCAGTCGATCCCATCTTTATTTATACCTTCTGGATCTGCAAATCAGGTGATCAAGTCAATATTTTCTTGATCATGTGGCACCAAGACAGGTGAAGTCGATAATGAGGAAAAAAACAACAGCAATGGCACAAGTAGGAAGTGCCCAATCGTGCTGTCCCTGTGATGGGTGTCCATCAATAAACATGGCATGATTATTAAAGGAATCCACAATGGTTGGTATCCACCTCATGTGATCAAGAAAATATTTACTTGATCACCTGATCCTAACATCTCCCTATAAAGGTAGGGACATTCCAGCTCTTCTAGCTCTTCCAGCTCCCCCCCCTTCCTCCTCCTCTACCACAGTCCTCTGTCCCCCCCATGCCTAAAGACACATCCAGAGCTCAGGAAACCTCTGATGAGGAGTCAGTATCATCCACTTGTGTGATCATCTTTCCCTTACATGTTTTCCAGCGACCATCTCGAGTGCCAGGCATGTCGACTCTTGTTTGCCACCACCAATGAATGCAGGACACACATGGCTACAGTCCATCAGTCAGAGGTAAGGATCACCGCTGACCTAACCCTTTCCTGACTAGATGGTGTTTTCCACTGCCCCAAATGCACATACACCCATGAAAATCCTCGCAACTTTGCCCACCACAAGCACATCATCCAACTCAAGGGGTTGGCCAAGGTATCCCACACGAGGCCCTCCAGGTCATGCAGCACTCCTCGCCTCACCGCCACCAGCACATCTGCATCCACATCCCCTGCCACGACGGTCCCCAACACCCCTGCCCTCACCACCTGCCCCCTCGACCCTATCCAAGATGATGAATACCTTCCAACGCAACCCACTGCCCACCGTCCCTCTGGACACCTGCTCATCCAACCGGAAGAAGACTTTAAAACGCTCCAGATAGGCATCGACCCCGAACATCTCTGCATCGTGTGCAAGGCTTGTGGACATGCAGTCCAAAGGAGTGCGCTCCAAAACCACGTTGCCAAATGGCACCACGTTTCTCGATTGCCCCCTTCCATCAATCCTGCCCTGCAACGTCACCGAGTTCCCCAGCACATCCACCACCCACAGAGGAAGGTAGCCCCTGTGGCCTCCATCCCTATCCTTGATGGCCACGTGTGCACCGTCGAGGGGTGCTACCTGGCTGCTGAACAGTACTCTTCCTTCTCCAGGAACCACTTCCACCAGGCCCGCCTGTTCCTCACACCCAAGGACCATGTCGTGTCCTCCCCCATTCAGGTCATCTTTCCAGAGAAGAAGGACCACCAGGTTTGGGTCTCAACCCCAACTACACCGCTCCTGCATCCAACATTGATCATGCCGCCGCATTGGAGGATCTCATGGAGCAAGACAGGAGGAGGGGGTGGGGTCAAGGCATCATCCAGGCTCCCGACAGTGCCCAGCAGGTCCACAATTTCCACAGGGAGTATGGCTGGATACACATGATAGAGGGGAAGGACTACAAGGTGCTCTCTGCACTCGTGGCTCTCCCACATGAGCCTCTCCTCCTCTGCTTCAAGGAGAGGGTGGTGCCCTATTTCAAGGAGATTCAGGGCATCGTCGAGAACACGCCACCTCTCGTTTTGAGGTGGATCAACACATTGGAAGGGTGAGCAGCTCGACCGTCAGGATCCAGGACCGTCATGACACTTGCCCCACAGAGATATCGCCCACCGGCCGTTCACCTATCCACAGAACAAGAGTACGACCCAACGCTACCACTCATATGCACTACAGGTCATCTGCTTTGTTCTTCGCTACTGCTCCTTGGACTTGCCGCCCATCCACATGATCCTGTCTGAGCACCAGCAGCAATGTGCAATGAACGTTTGGCAGGCACTGAACACACCGCTCTCCCACACGAACGAATCATGGGACAGGCTCATCCACTCGCTCTTTCTCTCCATCTTCTTCCACCCACCTCCATCCCTTCCCCAGGTTGGAGACAAGGACCCGGTCCACATGTCCCTCATCCTCATGAGCATCAACACAGAGGAGGGGGGCAACTTTTCCACGTTTCGTATGGTCACCACCATCATGTCTGGATTGATCCACATCATGCGCCTCGTCGCTGCAAAGGAGATCCACATCCAGGCTGCAGCCCTGACAAGCACCATGGACCCATTGTTCGAGTAAGGATCTTTGCTCTCTTTATGTCATCTCTGACTCATATCTTCATCACAAAAAGGGCCTGTCAGGAGTTTTGTCTACAGTGGCTTTGACGAGGGACTTCATCCCCATTCGACGTGGTCACCTCCCTGAACTCTTACTGCTCCACCATCGCAGGCAGTGAGCGCCAACTCCCAAGCACGTTATGGAGCTGAGACCACAGGTCCATCATGGTCAAAGGCAAGACAGTGATCCTGGCGGACATCCCAAAAAAGGTCATGGCAGAAGCCACATCGCTGTTGGAATCCCTCACTCAAGGTGCAGACACACAGATCGATGACAATTCCAGCAAGGACGATCTGGAGAACAGAATGCCTGGGTATTCCTTCCTGACCAACACTAGGGACAATCATTTCGCCCTGATCACTCGTTTCCTTTCCGATCGCCAGTACGCTCTGGGACAGGAGAGGGGGGAAGTGAAATGGAACGCCGTGTTGACAGGAGACTGGATGAGAAAGGTGCAGGAGCTCAACATGTGCCTGATTTTCCTCATCCATCTAGGGAGTGGACAGCCAGCTTGGGGCACCGAGATCCTTGGCATCCTGTTCCGAAACATGCAGAATGTCCACAGGAGCCTGTTCATGACCCCCGATGGTCTTGCAACGATCATTGGGTATAACAAGGTAATCTCCCTCTCTCTCTCTAGCCACTATTGACATTCTCGAAACAGACAAACTCCACTGCTGGAGTGGAGTGATACATCCCACGCTTTCCCCACATCGATCTCAGCAACCTGCTCCTCCGCTATCTCGTTCATATGCACCCTACAGAGGAAGTGTTTGGCAAGTTCCTCTGGGGCGACGACGCCGCAAAGGTCCTCCATCACTACCTCTTCTACCACATCAATGGTCACACCCTGTGCACCTTTGACCTGATGAGCATCATGGAGAAACACACCGAGGCCCACCTAGGGGTGAAACTCAACGTGTCCACCTATCAACACCTGGCATCTGCAGTGGGTCGGTACTTTCACCTTGGCATCATCGATCTACATGATGACATGATGACGGGGATGGACGCCATGGCTGGGCACCAAATGGCCACCTCTGAGCTGATTTATGGACTGCAGCCCGAGGAGGTGGGTGGACTCTCACCCTGTGTCATCGCCCTCTTCCGTGCCATGGCACACCTGTGGCATGCCAAGGTGCTTGGACTCAACTTGGAGGGAAGAGTGGCCACAATGGACCAGATACTGAGTCGGGACTCCTCCATCGAAGAGCTGGCTGGCACTGCCCCAGTTCGCTCATTTGGCCTCAGGGATCTGGAGGCGATCGTCGACCAGGTGAAGGTGGCGTTCGACGAGTCCGTGACGACTCGCATTGTGCCAGATCTCATCAAGGCATTAGAGGACAAGGTTGCTGACAGAGTGTTTGTGGAGAGCATCCAACCACCCCAACAGCCACGGCAGATCCAGCAACCCCCACATCCCCAGCAACCTGTCAGGGCACACCCGCCTGACCCGGTTCCACCCGGGCCCACCTGGGCCCACCTCACCCGCTCACCCGCTCACCCGCTCCCCGCTACCCATCCTTCCTCCCTCTTCCCTCTTTCCTCTTTCTCCTTTATTTCACTCTCCCTTTCTGTTTATTCTCTATTTACACGGACCACCTTCCCTTGTATCATTGTACTGTTGACCCGTCCGGCTCGGACACCCCGGGCGACCTCCCGCTACGCCCAGCATGCGCGGACGCCCTCGGGATCCCCCACAGGGATACCCTGATGGCTGCAGCCCTCTCCGCAGATGACGTGGCACCCGTCACGTGACCCAAGCCGCATGTACATAAATGTACCTGAAGTGGGAACTGAAGAAGTAACCTTCTTCTCACGTTTTCCACTTCAGGTAAGTAGTGTAGTTCTTCCTTTTAATAACAATTCACGTTTTCCACTTCAGTCTAAGTGGCCAGGGACTACAGTCCCAGATCGGGCCCATCAGTACGCGCGCCCGCTTCGTCCCCCGAGAGGGTCCCTCTGCCGGGCGCTACAGCCGGGCCCCCTCCACCCCGGACGCGTCCCTGACACAACCTTGGCAGCCTCCAAGCGAGGACGAGGACAACGATGACCTTTACTGTCAGGGCAATAGCCCCGAACCCCAAGTCATATGTAAATTAGATACATATAGTCACGTGGGTAAGCGGGAACCTCCAGGTAACTGCTTACACACCACCGTAAAATACACATTCTTGTATCACTTACAGCTTTGTGTGCTGAGCTACCCAAAGACCTCACACTTTTTTAAGTGTATGAGGTGTGTTTTACAACACAACCCACAACAACTACATAATCTTAACTTCTGACTCGGTAGCGCATATGGCACCTAAACATGCCCGCAAGGGCAAGTCGCATCTGCAGCGACACTAAAAAGAAACGAGCGGTTTATTAAGAAACCGCAATCTCCCATGATGGGAGATTCAAACCAAAAGCCGTCGTCAGACGACGACGAGGATCAACATGATCCGGCATTAGCAACCACCTCAGGGCTGGTCTCTGAAGGTTTTAGAAACTTACGTGGAGTAAGTGCGGGGCCAAATACCCCCAGAACTCCACAACATCCCGATCTAACCCAAGCTGGGGAAGATCCCTCACCTCCACATGAGGTGATCAACTTGCGCGAAAAACGCGTAAGCGCCAAACAATCAGCCCAAAAAGCTGATCGGATAGAGTCGCAGGAAACTCCAGGGCCCCACTATCCCCTGGAGTCCCCCCTCACGTCCCCAAGTCAAGCCCCAAAGGCAGACAAAGGGAAACAAAGGGAAGAGCCCCCACGTCGGCTATCTGAAAAACTACTGGACTTGTTCCAGGTTCCATCTGAATGGAGGACGGAAAGTGAAGACCAACTTCTTCTCAGGCTAAAAGCCCGAGAAGGCATGAAGATACGCCCTGAGAGCAGGATCTCCCAGAGCGCGGAAGCTCCAAAAGAACTTCCACAGTTTACACTCCCACACACCATGCCAGACAAGGCAAGGTCACCAACCTCGGAGGAGGTCTCCAAGATAATGAAGAGGAGGCGAACTGAAATGAGGGAGTTCGCTGAGGAAGCCTTACGGAAAAGTAAGGAAAAACTAGCAAACAGACCCCTCTATGAAAGGGAAGCACCCTCCGCAACGGCCTCGCCTAAACAAAGCGAGCATGGAGTGTTCACTCCAAGAACCCCTTCTGGAACCCCCAGAAGCGGAAATGTCAACTGGGGAGAGTCACTGCTCGCCCAACCAAACTTCCTCCTGGAAAACCAGGAATTGCACATAATAAATGCGATAAACTCGATCCAAAAAAAGATCGAGGAAATGAACCATAATAGTACGGCTCGTCTAGAGATAACTCTAGAAAGAATGGCCAATGCAATAGACGCGTTGACTGAAAAAATCAGCGAACAAACAGACTTGCTGAAGGAAATAAATTTCTCACAAAAAAGTGAGGAAACAAATAAACACCCCTGGACCACGGTCCAGGACATAAATAGAACTCGTGAAAAATTCACGAAAAGAACCACCAGTGAAAGCACACTGGAATATCATCAGCGACTCGACAGAGACGCTAAGGAGATCCTTCTCCCAAGGATAGGAGAAGACGATGCCAAAAGAAGGCATCGTTCAGAGATTAGGAGGAGAATTGGCATGTACCAAAGGTTCAGCCAAACATCCACTTATGACGGACCTCTCGAACAGAGAGGTAACTCAATCACACCCTCTCAAAACAATGAGAGAATACAAATACAACTTCAGGCAAATTCGCCTGAAACCAAAGAAATGCTGCAAGGAAGATTTCCCCCAGCAAAAACCCCCCCAAAGGAGAGATCTCCATTGGATAGCGACCCCACAAAGGCAGGGGAGCAAGAAGAGTACCTGGAGAAATGGTACGAAAAGGCCATGAGAATGGCCGAAGTGAGAATACTCACTCCCTACCCAGAAGGAGTGAAGCCTGAAGCCCTAGAGAATGGGCCAGCATCCCCTGACAAGAAATGGTCAGGGGAGAACGACATGGAATCGTTCTGGCAGTGGTTCACAGAACTACTGGGATTCCTTGCCTCACAAGGATGCAAAGGTCCCCAATTCGACAAAGTCCACCTGGACTGCTTGATTCATGGATTAGGGGGGCCCGCATTCGACCTCGGAATTAGACTCCGAGACGAAACTCTCCTCAGAGGAGACGAGGGCATGTTCCTCGAAGTTCTCAACATATTGATGAGAACTTGAATTAAAGCCTCTGCCATGCTGAACGCGACAAAGAAGTACCACAACGTCAAATACGAAGCGGAAAAAGGCCTAAAACAGTTCTACCTAGAACTGTCCAAAGCAGCATCCTGGATGGTGACGCTGCCAGACCAGGCATCCTTCAACGCCAGGTTCCTAAACTACATTCCCCTCGAATGGAAGAGGGAAATGATTGCTCATGATAGAATCAGAGCAGACTTCTCCTCAAACGAGGAGATGTTAAAAGCAATATCTCATGTAGACGAGATAATCAATGGGCTGAAGATGTCCTCAGCCTACAAATCAGGATACTATACCCGAACAACTACCACAGCAACCACGAGCCGCAGTAGAGTCCTCCCATCAGGAAAAAAGGCTGAAGAGCTGAAACCCAGATGGAAAGAGGATACATCCTCGAAAAACTCGAGGAAAACTGACCAAAAGTCAGTTCCAATTTGTGGCAAATGCGGCAAAATAGGGCAAACGAAAGATTGCCCAAGACACAATGTAACGGGCGATGAAAAACCAAGGCGCATAGCTGCCATGGAGATCGCGACCTCAACAGATGAAGAGTCGAAAGGCTCATCAGATGAGAAACCAGAGAACAACTCTGGTAACTCCGAAGCATCAAGCTTCAAAGTAGAGGACCCATACGAAGGACCTCAATACTCACCCGACTCAGAGGGTGAGGAAGTCAACATTGGGACCATAAGGATGGGCCCAATGTCAGTTGTCGATCATGATGACATAAACTACAAAATCAAACTGGCTGTAGCACGCCAGTTAGAAAACACGGCAGATGAAAAAGTCGCCGAAGCCTTGGTGGAAGCACCAAGAAAAGACGCCTTGGGGAAATACACCAAAGTACCCAAGGAAAACAAGGACAAAGGGAAGAAGGACCAAAAGTCCATCGAAACCCAGTCCCCCTTGTTTGATGCGAAATTCCGCATCTCAAAAGATGTGGGAAAATACCCTGCAAACAGACCTCTCTCAACGAAGAGAACGCTAACGGCTCACATAAAAATAGCAGGCACAAAAGCCTATGCGCTATTCGATAGTGGAGCCGAAACGGACGCTTTATCACCGGACTTTGTCCACGTGGTCCACATCCCAATTCTCCAATTGGAGAACCCAGTCGTCCTTCAAATGGGGACAAAAGGAACAAGATCACAGATCCTGTTCGGAACAAATGTGGACGTTGAGATCAATGGCCACATAGAAAAACACTACTTCGATGTAATCAACATCGACAGATACGATGCCATCTTCGGCGCCCCCTGGTTAAACAAAAACCAGGTAAGCTTAGACTTCCAGTCCCACAAAGTGAGAACGGTGAACAAGGGCAACATAGACACCCTTGGAATAAGCGAAGACCGTGTGATGAGATCACACAGATGGAAAACTCGAGCAAGAGCTTGAGAACAACCAAAAAAGAAGCCCCCCTGACAGGGAGGTGGGATTGAAACACACCTCAGGGTAATCAAAAGAAAATACCCTGAAGGTTGGCCCAATCCTAGTCCGGAAGGACTAGAACTTCCAGACGTACCACATCTGGAAGGTCTCTCCATGAACAACCCCGAGTTCGAAACACTCAGGGAGTGGTGGAGAGAAAAATTCGAAACTGTAATGGCGCCAGTGCCATTAGAAATGCCTCCCTTGAGGGAGGTGAACCATCAAATCCCATTGAAGGATCCGAACAAGAAATTTCGGGAAAACACCCCGAGATGTCCTGCAGAACTGCAGTGACCAAAATAGATCGCTATGTAAAAGCAGGATGGTGGTATCCCACGAACAGCGAGCGAGCATGCCCGCTACTGTGCATCTGCAAAGCAGATGGATCTTTGCGCACAGTAATAGACGCAAGGAATCGTAACTCAAACACGATCCTCGACATCACACCAATGCCAGACATGCAACTGATCCAAGAATCAGTTGCCAGAGCAACATACCGATCCAAGATCGATATGTCAGACGTGTACGAACAAATACGTGTGGACCCAGACGATGTCCATAGGATGACATTCTCCATGCCCCACGGGACGTACAACTCAAACACGATGCAGCAAGGAGACTGCAATGCTCCCTGCACCTTCCAGCACGCACTGACCTGGGAACTACGAGGAGAAGTAGGCAGACGCCTACACGACTGGTTCGACAATATATTCACCAGCACAAGCTCAGTGGAAAACCACAATAAAGCACTATTGTGGTTGTTCACTCGCCTGAAAGGGGCAAAATTCTACAAAAGCCGGAAAAAATTCCAGCCATTTGCCCCAATCCTAGATGTTCTAGGAAGCCGTGTGGATGAACAGGGCATCCACGCTCAAGCGGATAAAATGGAAAGAATCCGCAACTGGCGAGAGCCAGTAGACCACACAGGAGTCCTAAGATTCCTGGGAATGGTAGAATATCTATCGATATTCATGCCAAACGTCAGTGGTTACACAGGACCACTGCAAACAATCTGCTCAACCAAGCAGACATTCAGGTGGACACCACTCCACCAGAAATGCTTCGACGAGATCAAACATCT